ACTGGCAGGGCTGAACTCTAAACACTCTCTCCCAGGCCCTGGCCAGCATTTTTTCTAAGCCCTGGGACGGCTATCTTTACAGAGCTCAAATTGCAGTGAATCTAGCTGGTTAGGAAATCTTATGTCTGAGATCACTAAAGAATGATAAAGCCTATGGTAAAGTACAAAGGGAGAAAAATCAGGTCTCACTGTCTACGGCACAGACAGGAAGTGTTGTGGTTGGTCCCCTCCTTTCTTGACATCCCCACCTTGGATTGGCGGTGGCTAAGTAATCTCTGTAACACACCAGCAGGCAGTTAGTCATAGCCTCAGAAGCCCAACGTGACAACCTAGGCAGACACTGGACAAGTCATTTAACCCTTGACAACTTTTATTTCCCTAATTTGCAAAAGGGACGTAATACCATTATTAGCCCAGAGGCACATTTTGCTATGTACATCTTTTTGATATTTAATATCCGTTAGAATAATGTGATCATTTGCTTATTTATGCCCTTTCACAGTGTATAATTAGAAACGTATCTTTTGTACCTGTTTACTATCCTGGAAGAGGTGACAGATGCACATTGTGAAAATTCTGTTGTCTTCCTTGACAGCGTGGTTTAGGCCTCCGTTCCCTCTCACCAGGGCTCCTGAATTAACTACCAACTGATTTCCCCACCCCCAGAGTCTTAGTCCCTTTCATGCATTCCATATGCTGTCGTCATATTAACATTCCTCAGATTCAGCAGTGCTCACCCCCTACTCAGTAGCCATCCTTTGGGGGGAGGGTATATCTCAAGTGGTAGAGCACATGCTTAGCATGCACGAGGTCCTGGGTTCAATCCCCAGAACTTCCTCTAAAAATAAACAAGCCTGATTACCTCCCCCTGCCAAAAAAAAAAAAATTAAATAATATAATAAATAAAGCATTAAAAAAAAAGAAAGAAAGAAAGAAACTGTCCTGGACCCCACAGATCTCTCACTTCCCTCATACCCCCGGGCTTACATACATACTCTATCATTTGCTTAGAAACTCTCTCCTCTTCTCTTTCTGTGCCCCTTTAAATCCTAACCAGCCTTGAAGGCTCAGCTTAAGCACCCACTCTTCCTGGAGTCAACCCTTTTTCTGATCCCACAAGCCTGTGGGATCTATTACTCCTTTGAACTTTCCTAACACATTCTTTGCATTTCTCCTGTGAGATTGAACACGCGCAGCATTGCATTAGATATTCAGGTGTTACTTTATGATTCCGCGAGGCTGTAAACCCTACGGGGACAGAAGTCCTGTATACCTTTTTATCATCTCAAGTTGAAGGCCAATATTGTACGTGAAAGTCAGGGTGCTGCGCTGGAAGAAGCACAGGTTTTGAGGTCAGACGTCCTTGGATTTTAACCCTGGCTCTCCCCCTTTCTCTCCATTCTGTGATTGAGGACGAATGATTTAATCTCATTCCGGGGCTTAGTTCTCCTTACCTCGAAGATGTACTTTCCTGAAAAGATTGTTTCGAGGCTTAAGTTAGATATAACAAATAAAGTGCTTTTAAAAACACGACTCCACAGGACTGAGAAAAGCCTGCCAAAAGCCTGCCTTTTGGGTTCTTAGTTACCTATTGAGGCTTCTTCCTGTTCTCCAGATTCGAGGCACTGGGCATACCCAACCCACTGCTAGGACTCTTTGCTATGACGCCTACCCTCAGGTAGGAGGCTCCCCCTTTGGCTGTCACAGCATCCCTGAACCCGAATCCACTCCTCTAAGCTGACATTCGCACGAAACGTACACACAGACAGTCCTGGGCGATGTTTCCTAGCCGACTCTTTTGAAGGCGGCAGAATTTGGATCTGTGTGTTATTAGGATTATTTAACCCAGGTGTGAAACCCATTCTCACATCAGGAATTCAGTGGGGTTTTAAAATTCAAGACACACAATCAGCGTGCCAAGCCCTAGTGTGACTCACCAGAAAGCCAGCAGACACCGTGGGAAGCATCCCACGCTCGCTGCCAGGCCAGATCTGCTGCTGAGGTCGCAACGCCAGTGGACTAGGTGGCTCACGGGAAGGAAGAGCACGGGCAAGCGAAGGAGTGTTTCTGTGAGCGTAATTATTTTTAATTCTCTCTGAGAGGTGGGCTCCCCGCAGGCACACATGTATTTTTCTTCCTTCGCCTATTCTGGCTCCCTGGATATTTAAAAAACAGAAGCAAGGTGAAAGGCATTTTCCAGGGTAAAGCACGATAAAGCGCTCAACGTAAGAGCAGCTGGATGTTCACCACTAGGCCAAGGGCCACAGACTTCTCTCAGTCCAGTCAAGTCCATCTCCTCGCATCTTGCTGTGTCTTCCCTTCCAGAGGGAGGGTGGGGTCATGCAGTTTCCATGGTGTTCCATCCCGAAACTTGTGAAGAAAATCTAAAGCCAGACCCTTGACACCGGCTAGCCTTTCCCTTTTCTCTAGTTGACGAGAGGTGTGACTCTGAGCTCCATGACATTAGGACTAATTATATGCCAGGCTGCTAAGAGGGATAATGGTCGATCCAGGCCCACAGTTGAGCAATCTTCCTGACCCATGGCCTGTTTCATATGTTAGGTGTTATGAAATCAAGAGGGGAAATTAGGCTAATAAACTTAATATAAAAAGCAAATTAGGGGACGACTAGCAAAATTATTAATGAGAACTCTGTTTACACTGACTGTCAAGCCTAACCGTTTGTTTTTGAAGTAAAGGCCTTCATCAGAGCCCATGAGCAAGAGATGTGTTTGAATTTCAAAAGGTATATGTGAATTTCAGCGTCTTCTCTTTCTTAGCAGTGACTGTTTTTATATAGTGATGGCTGTGATTAAAGTTCAGACAACTGCGTGTTTGTTTTAGATATTGCTGTGTCCCCGCATACTTTTTCTTGATTCCTCAGTTTTATGATGGTTTCACAATTCGCCCAGTTTCCCAAGCAGTCATCCTGGGAATTAGCCCATGCCCCTCCTCTTCCATTATTACCACACGCAAGAAGTCAATACATTTTCTCAATTCTCACTCCCAAATAGCTTTCACCAGGCTCCTCCTTTCTAGCCCTTGAATTTAGACCACACCCCCATCTTCTCTTATTTAAATGACTCCACTGGCCTCCATGGCTTTACTGATAATACTCTTCAACTGCCACCACTCCCCAAACCATACCTACCCTCTTGACAGGTGGTGTGTCTCGCTTATAAATGCAAATTTGATGATAGCATTCCTACACTTTGTTGATTCTCCTTTGACGAACAATCAGTTCCATTTTACCAATGCTTACTGACTGCCTCCTGGTGTCAGATGCCGGTGATGTAACCCCAGCAGTCCCCAGTTATAGTGGAGTGTGATAAGTGCTTTAGTAGCTTATAAACTTGGAAATCTGCTGAATGCAAATTCATGTGCCTCGAACCTATGTGACCCTTCGTGACCTGACTTTAAATCTCCTTCTTCCCCCATGTGTTGTATACTACATCATACCATGTTATCAGAAATCCAGTCCACATTTCATGTTCTCTTACCTTTATAAATGCTGTTCCCTCACCATTATAAATGCTGTTCCCTCTACCTAGAATACCTCCATCCCTCTCAGTTGGGTAATTCCTACATGTCCTTTTAACATTCTTCCCAGACATCACATTTGCCGAGGCCTTTTTACTCCCTTGAACCTCTTATCCCTCAGCTGGGCTAGGTAACCACTTCTGTGCGGCATATCAATTTAGGAATAACTCTAGCAAAGGGCTTATCAGACTGTATTGAAATTAACCTGTCAGCCTAACCCTTGAGAGCTGCTTCAGGGTAGGGACCATGTCATTCATCTAAGTGCCTTCCTTACACAGCACAATTTTTGGCGCTAGCAGACTCTCAGTAATCATTTGTTGGAAGAATGAAAGTGCCTGGTTCATGATTTTTCTAATTATCCTTTCTTCTTATGGAGATGAGCCTCTACTTAATTTATTTAGATATCCACTTACATGGGCTTAAAACTCTCAAACTAATGCCTCACTGCAGTAAAATATGCATCTGTTGCTCCCACTTTTGTATAGTCTTTCAAAAGAGCAGATTATTTACACTTATATAGTTGCACCACTAATTTTACCCAGAATTATTTCCTAAGATTGATAGGTGTTATTTATTCATTCAAAAATATTTATTAAGCTCCTCCTGTAAACAAGGTCTCTCCAGAGGCTCCAGGACATAAAAAGTACAGAGAATCACATCTCGTGCAAAGGTCAGCTCTGAAAATCACATGTAGTTAAAGTTATTTTTAACCATCCCTTAAATCAGAGGCCGGCAAATCCTTCTATATAACTGTTTTCTGCTTTGTGAACCATATGGTCCCTGTCACAGCTGCTTGTCTCTGCTCCCGTAGTGTGGAAGCAGAGACAAGATGTAAATGAAGGGGTGTGGCTACTCGAGTACAACTTTACCTACAAAAACTGTGGCTCAGGGACCGTGATTTGAGAACCGTGCCTTAAATTAGAAGGTGGGACAAATTTTAAAGCGATGATGTATGCAGGGTGCTGAGGTGCTCTGGAATAAGGAGAAATCACACATTTCTCATCATAAGAAATTGGGATTAGGTAGCCTAGAAAGATGAATTTGCAGTTCAGAACTGATTCTAAAATACAGATGAATGGAAGCTGTCGGGATCAGATAAAGTTGGAAAAGCCCGGGGAGTGTTTTGGCTGGTCATTCAAGAAAAGTTTCAGACCAAAAGGTGGAGGTCTTTTTCGCCTCAAGCATCCAGGAATGTTGCAGCCTTGGTGACAATTTACCATTACAAAAAAGAGAAACCATGAAAGGTACATTATTTTAAAATATGTCCTCCTGATGTAGGTGATTTTTATTGTCAGTATTGTTTTAAGGTCAGAGTTCGTTACTGGTTATTTTGGAGAAACTTGCCACATAAATTGGAAAATGAAACGTGTTAAATGCAACTCTGAAATATGCTCTCACTGTTCTTTTATTCACAGAACTTAACCTGATGTTTCTTCTTCTTCTTCTTCTTTTAATTCCAGCACCAATAGCTGCAGGAACTGGCCCAAATTTTTCTCTCTCAGATTTAGAAAGTTCTTCATACTACAGCATGAGTCCGGGAGCAATGAGGAGGTCTTTACCCAGCACATCCTCTACCAGGTAATTGATGGGTGGCTCTTAAAGAGGTCATGCTGCGTAGTTACACACCTTGACTAACCCTGGGCCTGTTAGACACTTAGCAGTGTGCCTGTAGTAGCAGAAGACACTTAGAAGTGGGTTCAGCCCCAACAGATTTTCAGTCTCACTGGAGAGAGAAAGCAAACACACATGCAGCATGCATATGTGTATAAACACACACACACACACACCAGTCAGTAAAAAATTGTGTGACACAGGCTGAAAATAGTTAAAGAAAGCTTTATCCAAAAAGAATGACTTGTGCTGAGCCGTAAGCTGTAAGCGGTGGTGAGGGCTGGTGAGATGGAAGGTGAAGGCATGGCATTCCGGGCGGGGTGAAGACACGAGCAAAGGCCGGAGAAGGATGGGTGATGAACACAGCAAGTTCTCAGGAAATTAAGGGCAAAGCTCTACTGGGGGAAAGGGTGTGTGTTTTGGCTTGTTTTGCAGAAAGTTGACACTGGTGACATCAGCCCAGTCCCCATGCCCACAGCAGACATTAATTACCACTCAGTCCCAGCTCTTTTCCTACCGAGCCCTAAAAGGTCTCAAAATCCAGTCTACTGGAGGTGCCCTGAGAGATGAAACCTACTTGGTATCCTGGTATGAGGCTATAAAAGCGACTGCAGTCCGACAGCAGCATGGGGCCAGATCAGAAGCACTGCTGCATGGGAGACCTTTAAAAAAGCAAAGCTCAAAGAACACAACCAGATAATGATTCCAGGGTTCTTGATCCCCTTGAGGTCACAAAGCCAAAATCAAAATGAAGCATTTTGCAAGATCGTGTTGTCTCTAGATAACCTGTACCAGAGGGGAAGGGATTAGGCATTAAACCCACAGTATTCTTTTACAAATTGGCTTTAGCACTGGACTGTGACAACAAAGAAAAGAATGGTGCAGAACGATCTTTAATGTTTGTGTACTTTGCAGAAAAACGTTTGACGAAGGTATATTCCTCCTAAAGCAAGTGCTGGAGTTTTAGGATTTCAAACAATGGCCAGATGATAGAAATTTTCCTTGGGAGAGACTCATTCTTACCTTGACTTCATATATTTTAACCATCATTACTTTAAAAAAAACCAGCTTAGTCGTCACCAATACCTTGAAGACAGTTAAAGAAATACGGTCATTCCCTAAACATAACCACCAAATCCTACCATCACCTTTCATGTTGTTTAAACGTTCCCCTTAGTTCACTGTGGCATCAGCTCCTCCAGGAAGAAAAAAAAAAGTCTCCAGTCCAAAAAAGCAAACAAACAAAAAAAACCACCAAAAAAACCCATTTATAATAAAAAGAACAAGACCGTGAAAACACATTTGGGTGTTAATATGTTTTGAAGATTTTGAGTGTTTGCTGATGGAAGAAACACTGTCACTACACTCAGTCAGCATGAAAAAGCTTTGCAAGTACTTGTGGTCAGTGATTAATATAAAAGTTGGTGGGCTGTTTGTTTTTCATACGTGTGCTGCTCATGTGTCATGGACATCCCAAACATCTTCTCGACTTCTCCAGCTGTTTTGTTGCTTTTTCGGTCATGACTCTCTATGTGGAAATGTGGTTTTTAATGTTATTTAAAAGGCTCGTGTCATTCCCATATTCCGCAAATAACTAACCCTGATAAGGAGCTAATTATAAACAGCATCAGAAGTTAATAACCTGGTAATATGTTTGTTTTGCTCTCATTAGGCTCTCCTAAGATGATTTTTTTAAAATTATTCTTTAAATCTATAGACCCAGCAGAATTAGCTGTGTACAGTTTAGGAAATGTGCCCAGAAGACTACCCCCGATTTACATATAGAAAAGTTCATCCACCAATCAATATTTGTTCATGCTGTGCCAATATTAATTGGTCACCTGCTTTGTGGCAGGCACTGTATTAGGTGCTTTGCATGCCTGATAGGACTTAATATTACGATACAGCCTTGTAACAGTGGGTCAGCCCAGAGCTCAGAGAAGTTAAGCAACTCGCCCAGGGTCACAGAGCAAGTAAATAGCAGAGTCTACACTCAGACTCAGGTCTGTTGGAACTTTAAAAGCATGCTATTTTCACACTGACTCCTCTGAGGAATGGGGCTCACTCTTTCAGTAAGGAAACAACAGAACAGGAAGCCCCCAGAAAGGAAAATCGAGCATCTCTACCTTTCCCGGACACTTAGCATTTGCAGTCTTGAATGATTATTATTATCTTTGAGGTCTGTACTGGTCCTGCCTCCCCATCTCTACGTCCCTTAGAGGACAGTGTCTGACTCTTCCAGCTCAGCTGCAAATATTTATTAAGTCCCAGGGATATTGTCCTAGGCACTGTGGAAGTACAGTCAGGTAATAGGAGCTTTGAAATCTCTCAGTAGAGACTGACAAGAAAACGGGAATTTTCAGTTCAGATAGTAGGAACACTCAGGAAAGAGGCATTTTACAGTTTTGTGGATTCTAGGCTTTGCACATAGTAGGAATTCAGCAGATATTTGGGATGAAGGTCATGGTCTTACCTTAATTTCTGGGTTGAATTGCTAGGAACAAAAGAACAAATTCCACACACAAGAAGAGATGGTGTGTCACTGCTCAGAGGGGTATTTGTCCTCCCTCTTGTGTACAGATCTTTACTGGTACTTTTCCTGTGTTCTTCAAATGTTTCTGGGAGAATAGAATCAGTGTGTTAGAAAGTCAACAGCAAGAAACCAAAATTAATGACCGATTCATTTCTAAATGTTAAAAAATAAAGAAGATTGATAGGCATTAACTGTAGGTTCTGTCCCTTCATAGTAAACACCTCCAAAATCATAGAAGGGGTAGTGTAAAAACTGGGATAAAATGTACTTTTTTATCCCAAAGAACTTCATCAAGATAAACCAACTGTCAAGTCTGTGAAGTCAGTAAACTTTGTGTTGGAAGCCCTCCACCCATCCCTCCTGGCACCTCTTTCTTCACTCCTGGATCTTTCTCTCTCCTCCAGCCTGGGTCTCCGTCCTGGGAACATGGATCCTGCATCAACCCCTGACAATCCTTGCTTTCAGACTCAGGGATCAGCTGATAACATCTACAGACCCTTACACCTTCAGGATTTAAAACTGTAGGGGGATTTGCACTTTATTAGAGGACACTGGGGAAATCAAAAGCTTGAGAAACTCAGAAAAATATCCATAATAGGAGAATGATGGGCGATTTGTTAGCCTTTTGGGTGGGATCTCATTGAATCATGACACGTGGACAAAGCCTTGTCGTGAGTACTCACGTGACTGTTTCTAAATCTAGAGCCCAATTCAGCAGTTTTTGAGCATCTGCTGTTAGTCAGACACTGTGATAGGCACTAGAGATTTAAAACAAAGCAGCCAATAGTGTCTCTCCCCGCAGAGCTCACAGTCCTATCAGAATATGTGGGTCTTGCCTTTCATTTGCCCTTTCATGTTCCCAATTTGTATTCTCCCAACTTCCCCAATTATTTTAAGTGGCTTTCAATTTAAAAGGTAATATTAAATACAGAAAGAGAGTCCAGAAACCATTTGAAAAGATGAGAGAAATTGTTCTATCAGGAACATGAACCAAGAGTTAGGCCTTACATTTAGCCCTGAGATTCCTGGTTGCCAAGGCGAGAAGGGGAAGCACTCATAAAAGGAAACAATTGAAATTCATTTACAGAGACCATATTTTTTTTTCTGGTTTCATGTATTAGGAGGAATTTTTTGAGTATATCCTTTTATAAAAGACTTCTGTTAGATGTAGTTTTACATAAAACACAGAAAAGTTCTTTGAGTGGCTCTTTTTCATTGAACAAAGACAAGCAAAGAGCATTAAATAAGCTATTAAAGGCTCTTCCTTTGGGTGCTAAGCTAGCATGCTCCAAGTATGTTGCTTTCCTGTGGTCTGGCTCTAATGACAATTAGAACTTAGAGGCTAAGAAGCCTGGACTAGAATTTTGTGCCTTAAATTGGGCCCTCCATATTTTTTCACTTGGATTGCTACAGTAGCCTCTTCGCTCTCTCCCTGCTTCTAGGTTCCATCCCCTTCTTTTCCCTGTGCTTTTCAAAAACCATCATCTGCACAACTACCAGAGTGACCTTTCTGGGTTTTTTTGTGGTTGTTTTCTTTAGGAAGGGTGAGGTAATCTGGTTTATTCATCTGTTTATTTGATGGAGGTGCTGGGGCTTGAGCCCAGGACCTTGTGCATGCTAGGCATGTGCTCTACCCCTGAGCTAGGCCCCACCCCGCCAAGAGTGACCTTTCTGAAACACGATGCTGGTGTCACTCCCCATTTAGACTTTTTCAGGGAGTCTCCACCGCTTGTAGGATAAAGTCCAGACATACAGTATCTTCCGTACCCTCCGCCCCCTTCTTTTGCTGTGCCCTGCCTCCCACTTCAGCCGCAGCAGACACCTGGCAGTTCTCTGCCTGTCACACTCTGCCCGTGGTGCTGTTTCTGCCTGATAATGTACCTTCCTCCTGGAGTGATGTTCAAAATAGCTGGTGACCCGTGTGACATGAGCATACCAGTTAGGACAGACCCTGTCCTGGCCCTGTGCTGAGTCCTGGAATGCCCCTGATGGGCCACACCTTAACCCTTTAGGTTCTGGATCGTAAGGCTGTCCTGGGGCAAAGATGAAGTGGCAAGGTTGGGGGAAACTTAAGGGGCTTAAGACCATGGCACTTTGCCAGTTGGTAAAGAAGTCTTTCAACATTTTCAAATCCAGAATGGCTGCCTGAGTGGAGCAACAGCCTGCCTCTTGTCTTGTCCTTCTTTCTGCCCTGTCTCCTGACACTCCCTCTTACAGGCAGCTCGGGAACCATCTCCTCTGGGAAACCTGTCCTGACCTTCCCAGTGTTTCGTTTCCTTCCTCGATCGAGGAACCCACTGTAACGTCCGTGTGGTTCCATCATCATACCTATGTTTCTCTTTTGCACGATTTTGTTCACCTCTCTGTCTTCAACCACTGGCTCGTAAACCCCGCAGAGACAGGGGTTATGTCTGATTCATTTCAGTGTCCCAGCGTTAGGCACAGCACTCGGCATGTGGGGGAGGTGCACAGTGAACGTTTGATGAATGAACACATGTTAAAATTCGGTGCCCTGACGTGTGAGGAAGGGATCTCCCAACAAGGCATGAAGTCCGCCCCTACAGGTATGTTAGTGACGATCAGTGAGCGCAGTTAGAATGACGTTTGCAACGTGTAGCATTTCGTGACTCCTGCAGACTCAGGTTGGGAGAAAAATATTCAGACCTTTAACTGAAGGAAATGGAACACATTCCGGAAATTTCTCAACCATACCTCTCCAAAACTAAAAACTCCACAGCCCGATGGCATAGAACTGTGTTTTGGTTGTTTCTGTGTAGAGGAAGGGCATAAGAGTCACGGGGTCACTCTTCTTTCCATGAGCCCTGTTCTCACAAGGAAGTGTACTCCTTGCTTCTGTTTTTATCTCCTTTGTTCACTGTTTTATCTCTAGTGCTTAGATCAGTACCTGGCCTGTTGTCACTGTGCAAGAAATATTTTTTTCAGTGAACAGATGTAAGTGGGAAAAAAACAAATGGCAACCCAGGCTCTCCTTCGAGGGTCACGCACCCTGATTTCTCCCCTTTCTGGGGTGCCAGAAGGGGCTGAATGGATGTCTGGGGACACTGCTGATTGCTACGTCCCAGCCACCGCCTGAGGAGATACAAACTGTACCCAGTCTTCCAGGTGGAGGCAGGGGCAGGAGCCAGCCACCAGTTCCTTAGAGGAACAAGGAACAGGATGTGGCGGCGGCAGCAACTTGAGTGACAATAAAAAGCAAACCCAGATGCTTAGAGCAACTCAGACCCAAGATTTTGTTCCACGTCCAGTGACTCACCCTACTGAGCAGGAGCCTAGAGAGAGTCCTAGAACGCCGCTGAGTTGTCCAATTGCTTCCTCCCTTGGCTTGCTGTCAGCCAGGAGAAAGGTGGTTTGGATGGCTTTTAAACACGTACTCGTTTGTCATTCCAGCTCCACAAAGCGCCTCAAGTCTGTGGAGGATGAAATGGACAGTCCTGGTGAAGAGCCATTTTACACGGGCCAAGGGCGCTCCCCGGGGAGCGGGAGTCAGTCCAGCGGGTGGCATGAAGTGGAGCCAGGTAAGCAGGGCGGGCGGGCGGCCGGGCGGCGGCCGCCGTGCCGTCTAGGGTGTGCGTGCGCGCCCATGCCGGGTGTGAAGGGAGGGGGCCAGCTCAGAGCAGTGGACTTCCTGACTTTCTCCCTGTGAACACGTGTTTCTATCTGACAGCTGCTCTTAAGAAAGGGAGGCGGCACAAGGCTGCCATTCAGCTGAGATGAAAGATGGCGAGAATGGTGTGTAGGATTTCCTCCTCTTACACATTTTCACCTGCACTGCAGTCCGGCGTTCTGTTGACCTTTGCTTTTGTTTTATACGCTGCCTTTTGGGTTTGGTTTTTTTGAATTACCTTTTAAAAATCAAAATAAGGGGAAGGTATAGCTCAGTGGTAGTGTGTGTGCTTAGCATGTACAAGGTCCTGGGTTCAATCCCCAGTACCTCCATTAAAAAAAATTAAAATAAATAAATACACAAATAAACTTAATTACCTTCCCCTAAAACAAACAAACAATAATCAAAGTAAAAATCTATCAACTCTTTCGACTGCATTGATAACATTAGAAAGGGAAAATGGGTTCCCTGTGCTGTGGCTTATACGTGCATCTTTATTAAAGGAAGAGACTTTTAAATATGCTTTCCTGTTACCGGATTTCATCATGATTCTTTTCTCTATTTAAAAGGAATAGCTATCTTTATGTCCATCTTTAGTGAACTAAGCAAATGACGGCTACTCTAACCTCCTGGGGTAGTCTAGTCTTGGTTCTGGAGTCTTGAGTAATGTGAATAATTCTGGCAGCAGAAGCTTTTTGAAACTTTTCTTGATGTCTAACCCCCACACGAGCAAGGGGGAATCTCCTTTAGTGCCTTCCTCAATATGCAGAGTCAAATGATGTAGAGAACAGAGTGAGCTTTGGAAAAGACAGGCAGAGTGTAATCCGGGCTCCAGCTCCTGCTGGCTGTGTGATTATGGGCAAATTGCCTAACCTCTCTGAGACTGAGTGTCCCCAGTTTTATAATTTGTCAATAATAATAGCTATTTCGGTGCTCTTGAGAATTAAACGAGGTAACAGACGTAGCTCATCTGGGAATTCTACCTAGCACAGTAAATTAAAAAAAAAAAAAACTTTCTGACCATTCCCTCTACTCTATGCCTCAGAGTAATTCTCTGAAGAACAGACAAGCCCCAAGAAAATCTCTGACCCTCTTCATCTTCAGATCCTAACTCCTTTCTTTCCTCTTTAGCATATCAAAAGAGAACCTCGGAGGGTGTGACTATAAAGGAAATAGCAACAAGGGAGATTTTGAGGAGTGATAGAACGGTTCTGTATCCTGACTGTGGTGATGGGTACAGGAATCCATCCATGTGTTAACGTTCCTAGAAATGGATGCCTTCCACTCCTGAACCCCCAGGCACTTTCACTGTATGATAATTAAAAACAAAACAAAACCCCAGGCCCCGCTGACTGAGTCCTTCATCTAAAATGCAGAACTTTCACTTTGCCTTCCTTCTACCTGATCTTCTCATCCAACTCATTCATTCATCCACTCACGCCTTCCAGGAGAACTTTCTCTGGAACAGGTATTTTGCCTGGTTCTGGGAACTCAAGGATGCATGGAAAGGTTATGGCTCCTGCTTTCAAGGAATTCACAGTTGGGGGTGGGAAACAGACACATAAGAAGATCATTATGTGGTGACGTGGGAGACGCAAAGATGGGGATTTAGCCTCCAGTGCCGCCGTTTTGTAATTATTACCAACACAACACTCAAGGAGTGGAGGGTCTTCTACAAAGGCCACACATCAGCTTCATGCCACACTTACATTCATGTCAGTTCACCAAAAGTGGCTCAGAAATACATTTCACTAAATGAAAATGAACATGCTGACCATTCGTGCCGCCAACTGCACCATCAGCGCGACCTCAGGATAGCGCCAGTGAGAAGTTTATGTGCTGTGAAAACATTAAAAGAGCTAAAACTTCTTTGAACCCTTTTTAAAAGGCCAGTTAGAGTTCTGGCCGGTTTACCTGCTTCGGTGAGTATCAGAATCAAAATACATAGGTTTGGGACCTTGAACTTGAGTATGGTCCTGACGCACTTTTACACCGACTGAGGCTGCTGTATTGTGTTGGTGTCCCTGAAGCATCTCCACTGTGAGAAGGTTCTCTGCATCCTTGTTTCCTTTGGGCATATTTGGGGACAGTGGGGATAGATTGAATGCAGAGTCCTTTGACCTAGTGACTCCTTTATGCAGAGTAATTCTGTTCCTCTCTGCACGTTATGATTCAAATGATCATAAATTTTAACATCTGAATACCTATATCCTTTGTGATCATCAAGTAACTAAAGTTTAATGGCTAAATCCTTTTCGGGAGGAAATATATATGGCCATTTACTATATACTACACACACACACACACAGGTACTATTGACACATAGTATATTATACTATCTTTATATACTTATATGTATGTATAGTATAATTGTGGGGTGGTTCTCTAAGGAAAAAAATTCTATTTTTAGAGCAATCCCCCACAATTATACTCTATTCCTGGACTGATTCTCCATTCTCTATCTCTATTTCATTACAGAAAACTGCAGTTTCATGGTATATGTGTTTGGGGGGAGCAGTGGATAAATTTACATTTGGCCATATTCAGCATAGAAAGTCATAATTGAAACAGGGCCTGAGGGGACATTAAAACTCAACTGAAGGATGTTGTACATGTTCGTGGTGACTTTGGTGTCATTAACTCACACCAGCCATTTTAAATGGATAATTTATGCTGCCAGATGGTCCTTTTTGGGGATTTTCCATCTAGCCCAATCCCCTTTTTGGCACAGAGAACACCCTTATGTTGTTCCCACACTGATCTGGGCCTGCATAGCTTTTCCCCAGGGGTACAGTTCATTGAGTAGGAGGCTTTTAGTGGCTCACGCATGTAAATTACCTTCAGAGCACGTTGGGAGTTATGTGTATCTGAAGGCACCGCAGCCTCTCGGTTGCCTACATTTGGGATAATTCCCTCCAGCAGATACGAAAGGATCCTTTGTTTGTGCCTCAGATGTGACCCAGGAAGCAAGGCCTGTGCTTACTCCTCACTGAGAGAGCTTTGCATCTGTTTACCTGCCCTCGTATGCTTTTTCGGGACTCCCCGGCCAAAAGAGGGCCGAAGGTTGCCAGAAGAGACAAATTTCCTGGAGCAACAGGAAAGCTTTAGAAAGTAAAACAAACCAGACATGCAGTAAATTACTTGGGCTCTTTCAAATGTCTTTTGTAGTATCCTGTTCCCCATTAGTTTATCTCAGCACTTTTAGTGCACAGCGCTTACTATCTGGGAAGAAGGGGCATAGGAGATTAAAGATGATGTTAGTGTAAAAACATCAGACAACCTCGAGCTGACTTCTGCTTCTCGTACAATGCCGCGTTTGTTCCCTCCACTTAGTGTCCTTCCCCAGTTATCTCAAAACTGGGTTAGATTCGAAGCTTTGAAGCTAATCATGCACTGATGAAATGAGTCCTATGAAATTCTATCAAGCGAAAATGCACATACCATCAACTCTTGTTTATCTGTACAAGTGAAAAATTGCAGAGAAACCAGTAATGCAAATAAATAGGAAGGACACCCACAGGCTGGCGCCTACACTGGGTCAGTGTACGGTGCTTTCATAAATACAGTAAAGACTATAGTTGCTATTGTTTGAGGCCTCCTGTGTACCACCTTTTTTTTTTAATTGCCCTAAATTATGCAAGTAGAATGAGCTCGCCTCTGTAGCATTATAAAAGGTTAGGTGACTTGGCCAGGGCCACACGGATAGTAAACCTGTGGATCCCATATCCAAATTGCAACCTAAATCTGATTTCAGAGTTTAAGTTTTGTCTCCTGTACCCAGTGACTTTTTTTACTGTTGACATTTATGCTTGTATTTTAAGGTCCCATGTCCTGGGCTTGTATTGAAATTTAAAACATCATAATGAAAAATTAACAATTACTCATCAGAAAGATCTGAAACATCCCGCACTTCCTTTATCCCAAACCCTTGTCATGCACCCAGGCCAAGGGAGGAGTGTGGGCTCATTAAATACACGTAGGACACACTATGTGAACAGACAGTATTAACTGTCAACAAAGTGAAGTGTCTATCACTTTTTGCCCATAAAATCAAATAATCCTCAGCATTCAGAGCTTTGTTCAAACAATACCTCGTCAGAGAGGCTTCCGGGGAGCAAAGATAGCTGCTGTTTCTCTTCCATCGGCCTATAACGCATACCCCTGCTCTCCTTCCTTCATGCCACTGTCTCCTGTCATCATCTGTGCTCTGCATCTAGAATGTACCCTCTGTGAGTGCAGGGCCCAGGCTGTCTTTTCCACGGCTGAACCCCCAGCATCTGTGACACTGTCTGGCGCATAATAGGTACTCAATAAATATTGACTGAGTGAATGAATGTGGCCTGTAAAGCAGGGAATTTGGGCGCTTTCCATAAATCTGAAAGCAGAATTTGCCACCAGTAATTCTCTCAGAATGGATGTTTACTATATTCTCAATCTGTAGGCTGTTATTCAGTCAAATCCAATTATTAACAAGTAGTAAGCAAAACAATTGCAAAGGCTAGACCACGGGCCCCACTGACAAGTGATAGTATATCAGATTTTATTACAAGTGTCCCTCCTTCGCCTGAAAGGGTATTCCTTTAAGTAAATCAAACCTTTTGTTAAAGATAATACTTTAGTGTTTTTTAAGATAATATTGTTTTCTTTAAAAAATAAAAAGGTAATTCGTTACCACAAGCTCTACATCAAGAATCCCAATAGTGAATCTTTTGTTGAATGTTTTATGTAAACTTCCTGATGTATGTCTGAAAATTTTCTGATTTCTATATGAAATTTCCTCTTATACAAGCATAAGGAACACTCATGAGACGCTATGAGATCTAATCTTGCTACTCAAAGTGTGCTCCGAGGACCAGCAATATGGCATCAGCTGGGAGCTTATTGGAAATACAGAATCTCGGGGGGGAGGGT